GGTAGAGTATTTGGTTTGTATGTGAAATTGTTAAATTTTTTTTTATTATTACTAAGAGTTGCTCCTAATAATCTTTTAATATTTTGCTGTCGAATTCAATTTTTATTCAAAATTCAATGTGAAGAAAATATTTTTTTCTTAAAAGATGATCAAATAGTAAGATTAATATTAAAAGAGAAATTTCAATTTTTTACAATATATTGTGCACTCCAATGTATTAGATTATTATACATTTGATTTGACACGTTTAAGTATATAAAAAATAAAATAGTAAAACTAAACTTTCGCAAAATTGTTGATAGAAAAAATTAATAACAAAAATATCATCAACAATGTCTGTAATAAAAATCAAAATCAACAAGTTATCCGCGGAGAATCATCTAGTGTCGATTGTTGTTGGAGTTGTAACTACATCAAAAGGCTGGTGCTCTCATTAGAGAGTCACTACTTCATCAAATCAATTGTACACGTTGCTGAAAAAGCCAACGACTCCACTAATCATCATTGGCTTCGATTCTCTTTCATTGCTCTCATTAATTTTGTTCAGGTACAAGAATTTTTCTGTCATCATGAACCTCTTGCATTTTCATTTTCGATGTCACAAGTTTTATAGTGAGATTGCTTATTCATCAGAGTTCTGCTCACAAGTGTCTGTTTGAACAATCTGTTTTTGCTTACAGCTGCAGTCAATTCCATATAGATATGCCTTTTAGTTTGATGACTTTTCTTTTTTACCGAATAACTTGAAATCCGAACAAATCGGATCGAAACCCGATTAGACATCTTTAATTGGAGAATTGGACCTCTTAGGAAGATCCAAGAGCGTAGCATCATCCATTTTCCCTGCGACTTTCTGGATTTGGTGATGGCGACTGCTCTGTCTCTGGGTTTAGGAACACTTCGCCCTTCGAAACCTTACTTCTCCTGTTTCGGTTCGCTCCGGCACCAGACATCTCTTCTCCGATGTCAAAAAAGTCTTTTCTCTAGGTCTCCTCCGCTTCATAGGGTTCTTCAGTCTTGTCTCCGATCCAGTGGGTACCTATATCATTCTTCTCTCAATTTGCGTTCAATTGCTTAGTTTGACCAATTTGCGTTGTCAATGGCTTCTTTATAGCATTCAATTTTTGGAAGATAGA